TATTTATTATTATAATTCAAGTATTTTTTTAGATTTATTATTAATTATTTAAGCTTTTTTGAAAATTGAAAATGTAGTTTTCTTGTTAATGCTCTGCTGGCAACTACGGAGACATATTTCCTTATCGCTAAGACTACCACAAAAAAAAGACAGAGAATCGCAATATATTTAGTACCACACGGGATAGCCAATTCCCTTGTGTGCTCAAATTCTATCGGTTGCGTTAAGGCTGCAAGCTCGTACCGGTAGGGATTTTCATCCAGTTAAAAACCGGATAATAAATGGTACTTTATTTCATACTTAAATTACACTATAATAAAAGTACTAGTTAACATTCTAATTATAAAGAGCTACATCCCATACATTACACCCTTAACGCGACTAGCGGTCACTTGAGGTACCTAGCTGCAGTCGATTAATGTGGGTCCAAGTGACCTGCTTGCAGCCTTAACACAACCGATGGGATAAATTTTTACCCTAAGGAACGCGGGTACCTAGGTAGGTATCAAACATTGTCACCAGTTGGCCAGATCAATGCTGCTTGGTTACTTGAAAACGTATAAGTACCTACTTATAAGTACGTAGTAGGTACTTTCAGTAGTAGGCCGTCGGTCTTGTCGGCAGGGTAAAGCCGACTGCGTACGACCAGAGGTCGTCAAATTGATCCTTCCTAGCTTCATTTTTCTGCGGAGCATCCGTCTCCTTTTCGCGCAGCCCTGTACACTGTATTCTGTCAAGTTATTGCGAGTCCTTTTTCGCTCGTTTTCTTTCCTTCTCTTTTCTCTCTTTCGATCCCTCATTTCATTAACTTGCTTAGCCTGTCAATTTGGCACAAGGGTGTGCTGGCACTGGCGCGGCTACAGCCTCACCTTGCACGCTTCCTTGCCTGTACTTTTACGTCTCTCATGCAAATACCACCCCTTTCCCCCGGGCTAGCAGTAATGGAGAACGGAAATACGCCTTTCATCGGGGACGCCTTGTACATTAGTCTGGACGAAAAGAAGACCTTGTCTCTACCTGCAAGCGCCAACTTCCTTACACTTTTTGGTAATACCTTCAAATCAATCAACTCTTCAGTATCAAGTGTATTGACATTTGATAGAACCAATTCCCAAAAGCAGCCTTCGATCGGTCTGCAGATCTATCCTAACAGGTTGGGGCCGTCAAGGCATATTCGCCCAGTGAGAGTGAGATGGCCAGCTGACATGAACAGCAGATTCCTCTGGCAAGCGACAGGTGCCACTTTATAACGTCATATGGATAGAAATCGCCAATGGTAATCTCTTCATTGACTATGCGGCACAGTCGTCAAAAACGCATGTCAAACTTGAGAGGTGGACATTTGCGCTTGCGAAAGACAATGAATCCCTAGGTAGCCTGCGGCCAGAAGAATTTACGGCTCGTGTTCTTGAACGGGCATATGGGGATTCTCAGCTTCGTAAAAGAGCATATGTGCTCATTAATCCCCATGCCGGCCCAGGGGGCGCTCTGCGCAAATGGAGTAACGAGGTCAAGCCGCTTTTCGATGCTGCCCGCATGGAACTGGACGTCGTCACATTGAAACGGGGCGGAGAGGCCACAGATCTCGCTGAACAAGTCGACATTGACAAATACGATACCATTATGGCATGTTCTGGTGACGGCACTCCTCATGAAATCTTTAACGGTCTGGCAAAGCGTCTTATTCGTAAAACTTATAATTCTATAAGTATTTTATTAGATTTAATATAATTTTTTATATTCAAAACTATAAAAACTACAAAACTACAAAACTACACTACTTCCAATGCTCTGACTAGAACTAGGGGCCGCGTGCGTACTAGGTATTGTGTGGAGGAATTCGGCCGCACATCGCAGCTCGATTTAGCTAGCAATGTGGCCTTTAGTCACGTGCCGTAACACGTGATATGTCACGTGCCACACAATTATATAACTAGCTTTTTAGAGCCTTCCTAGAAAAATAGAACCTCAACCTTCTTGGCCCTCGTGGCTGTTGTGTTCAACTAGTATTTTGACCGGTATTTTGACCGGTATTTTGACTGATATTTTGACTGATATTTTGACTGTCTCTTACGATCCTTTATCTTGTGTGGTTTTTCCCTGCACAAAGTATCTAGGTACGTACCTAGGTAGTATTTACTCCATATGATTTAACCCGTCGGGACCGTGGGGACCGAGGGAGCCCGCGCAGTCCGACCACTTGAAATGGAAAGTTCCAGATGTCTGATCACATTGAACAGATCCCCCATCGCTTCTAGGTAGTGTGGAAGAGGCTGGGGCATCTGCAGACATGCACTCACTGTATCTAGGTGTCAGAGGATGGTGCGGTCTCTGGCAACCAGAGCATTGACTGTAGTGTAGTTTTGTAGTTTTATAGTTTTATTAGTTTTGAATATAAAAATTATATTAAATCTAATAAAATAGTTATAGAATTATAAGTTTTACGAATAACTAGTATAAATTCTATATTATAAGCTAATATCAAAAAAGTGGGTCTTTATATAGTATTATAAGCTTAAAACTTAAAAAACTACATTTTATAGTTTTTATAGTATAGGCTCTGCTGGAAACTACGGAGACATATTTCCTTATCGCTAAGACTACCACAAAAAAAAGACAGAGAATCGCAATATATTTAGTACCACACGGGATAGCCAATTCCCTTGTGTGCTCAAATTCTATCGGTTGCGTTAAGGCTGCAAGCTCGTACCGGTAGGGACTTACATCCAATTAAAAGCCGGATAATAACTGGTACTTTATTTCATACTTAAATTACACTATAATAAAAGTACTAGTTAACATTCTAATTATAAAGAGCTACATCCCATACATTACACCCTTAACGCGACTAGCGGTCACTTGAGGTACCTAGCTGCAGTCGATTAATGTGGGTCCAAGTGACCTGCTTGCAGCCTTAACACAACCGATGGGATAAATTTTTACCCTAAGGAACGCGGGTACCTAGGTAGGTATCAAACATTGTCACCAGTTGGCCAGATCAATGCTGCTTGGTTACTTGAAAACGTATAAGTACCTACTTATAAGTACGTAGTAGGTACTTTCAGTAGTAGGCCGTCGGTCTTGTCGGCAGGGTAAAGCCGACTGCGTACGACCAGAGGTCGTCAAATTGATCCTTCCTAGCTTCATTTTTCTGCGGAGCATCCGTCTCCTTTTCGCGCAGCCCTGTACACTGTATTCTGTCAAGTTATTGCGAGTCCTTTTTCGCTCGTTTTCTTTCCTTCTCTTTTCTCTCTTTCGATCCCTCATTTCATTAACTTGCTTAGCCTGTCAATTTGGCACAAGGGTGTGCTGGCACTGGCGCGGCTACAGCCTCACCTTGCACGCTTCCTTGCCTGTACTTTTACGTCTCTCATGCAAATACCACCCCTTTCCCCCGGGCTAGCAGTAATGGAGAACGGAAATACGCCTTTCATCGGGGACGCCTTGTACATTAGTCTGGACGAAAAGAAGACCTTGTCTCTACCTGCAAGCGCCAACTTCCTTACACTTTTTGGTAATACCTTCAAATCAATCAACTCTTCAGTATCAAGTGTATTGACATTTGATAGAACCAATTCCCAAAAGCAGCCTTCGATCGGTCTGCAGATCTATCCTAACAGGTTGGGGCCGTCAAGGCATATTCGCCCAGTGAGAGTGAGATGGCCAGCTGACATGAACAGCAGATTCCTCTGGCAAGCGACAGGTGCCACTTTATAACGTCATATGGATAGAAATCGCCAATGGTAATCTCTTCATTGACTATGCGGCACAGTCGTCAAAAACGCATGTCAAACTTGAGAGGTGGACATTTGCGCTTGCGAAAGACAATGAATCCCTAGGTAGCCTGCGGCCAGAAGAATTTACGGCTCGTGTTCTTGAACGGGCATATGGGGATTCTCAGCTTCGTAAAAGAGCATATGTGCTCATTAATCCCCATGCCGGCCCAGGGGGCGCTCTGCGCAAATGGAGTAACGAGGTCAAGCCGCTTTTCGATGCTGCCCGCATGGAACTGGACGTCGTCACATTGAAACGGGGCGGAGAGGCCACAGATCTCGCTGAACAAGTCGACATTGACAAATACGATACCATTATGGCATGTTCTGGTGACGGCACTCCTCATGAAATCTTTAACGGTCTGGCAAAGCGTCCTGACGCTGCCCGTGCCTTGGCCAAGATTGCCGTCAGTCATATTCCTTGCGGGTCAGGCAACGCCATGTCCTGTAATCTCTATGGCTCATACCGGCCATCGTTTGCGGCGTTGGCGATCATTAAGGGTATCACTACCCCCCTCGATCTCGTATCCATTACGCAGGGCAATCGTCGCTTCCTGTCATTTCTCTCCCAGTCTCTGGGGATCGTTGCAGAGAGTGACCTCGGGACTGAACATCTTCGCTGGATGGGCGGTTCAAGATTTGAGGTCGGTGTTTTGATGAGAATATTTCGACGCCGATGCTACCCGTGTGATGTAGCTGTCAAAATTGAAGTTGGTGAGAAAAACGACATCAAGGCTCACTATAAGCGGCATATCAATGGTGCAGGCGCCAAACAGCTCCCTCCAGATGTTGTTGCTATAGAACAAGCCGGCAGTAAAGGTCTCCCGCAACTCAAATACGGCACCGTTCAAGACCGACTACCAGATGATTGGGAACTTGTACAGTATGATAAAATTGGCAACTTTTACTGCGGAAATGTAAGCTGGTCCGGCTACTATCTTTGTCTTTCGTAGAATTTGTGACTAACTCCAGTGCAGATGGCCTACATGGCACCGGATGCAAATTTCTTTTCTGCCGCAATGGCCAGCGACGGCTGCATGGACCTTGTTACAGTTAATGGGGACCTCTCTCCTATCACGGCCACCAAGCTCTTATATTCAGTCGAGTCTGGAAAATTTTTCGACAACCCGCACGTACAGTATAAAAAGATATCTGCGTACCGCATTATACCCAGAAACCAAAAAGATGGTTATATTAGTATTGATGGCGAGAGAATCCCGTTCGAACCTTTCCAGGCCGAGGTACATCAAGGCTTGGGAAGGGTCATTTCCAAGAGAGGGACATTCGAGGCAGCCGGCCCGGCGAATTGGGATAAAGTGACGCTAGCGGATCGTATGCACGCATAGGCACAGTTGCGATTAGCAACGTGTCTTGGTGACAAATTATGTTTGGTGGGAATTTTGTCGAGCGTCGTGGAGGAAGAGCTTTGATACCCAATTGTACCATACCATGAGAAGTAAACATTGGTGGGCACAACAGTTCCATGTCTTTGTGTGTCTAATTGCGCATACCCGTTGACAACTAAGTGGGCTAGCCACTTAGTTGACCACAAAATTCCGGGACAGCTATAAAACTCTGGGATACTCTTAAAGCTTTTAAAAATCGTATAACTCTTAATAGTAAGACTATTACTTAAATTAATTGATAGAGATTTAAACTATTTAACTTATAGGAATACCTTCTCCTTAAGTACTCGTTTATCTCTTTATTATAATCTTAGATTAAATAGATCCTATTTAATCCTCTATATTAGATTAGGTTAATTCCCTTTAATCTATTAAGTTAAATTAAACTAATCCCATTTAATTCCCTCACGTAACCTACGATTCTATTAGGCTCTATTCTTATTTATATATTAGTAGCTTATAACGCTAATTAACTGCTTTAAGTACCCTTAGTTTAT